GGAACAAATTTATGCCTTTTAATACCCCAAGTAGCACACAAGTCATTCAATTGTTTGTTACAAAACAAAAGACCATTGTCTGTCCTAAGAGTTTTAATTTTCTTTCCCGTTTGCTTTTCAATCATAATTTTCCAGTTTTTAAATTTATCAAGAACTTTAGAATTTTATTTGATGAGTAAAACCCAAACTTTCCTAGAATAATCGTCAATTATGGAAAGAAAATATTAGCTCCCTCCATGCGTAGGAACACTAAAGGGAACCCACACATCAGCATGCAAATATTCAAGTACACTACTGCACTTAAACTGATTAGGAAAAGAAGAAGTAGGAAAACTAACCTTATGTTGTTTTCCTAGCACACAAGGTTCACAAAAAGGGATGGGGGATATTTTATCACTACCGAAGTGACCTCCTTTATGCAAAATTTCTAGTCCTTTGTTACTCATGTGACCTAATCTATTATGCCATAAAACAGATTTATTACCTACCATAGAGTTAACAAAATCAAGCACAGGTTCAGCATGACAAACATACAATTATTTTGTTTTTCAGCAGTAAAAATAACAAGAGACCCTTTCAGAATTTTCATAACCTATTTACCCCATTTTCCCTCTAAACCATTATTTTCTAGAGATGCACAAGAAATCAAGTTATAACGTAAATCAGGAACATGTCTAACATCTTCAAAGTAAACACAGAACCAGAAGAAAACCTAAGGCATATATCATCAGTTCCTAAAATATTAGATTTTTTTTCATTTGCCATTGACACAAAGCCATTCTCTATTTTCTTGTAGTTTGAAAACATATTTTTAAATGGAGTCATATGAAAAGTACAACTAGAGTCTACCTACCAATCTGATTTATACAAAGGATCAGATAACACAGAGTTCAAATATGCATAATCACACAGATTATTAATCATGAAAATTTCACTCATTTTCCCCTCACAGACAGCCATATTAGCATGATCATTTTACTGATTTTTCTTAGGCTTGGGACAATCTTTAATAAAGTGACCAGTTTCATGACAATTATAGCATTTTTTAACTTTAGACCTAGACTTAGATCTACCCCTTCTATTTTTGAATTTTTTCCAACTTGATTCCCCATTACTAGCATTCTTTTGGTTATTAGACCTATTATGATGCCTACCCTTCATATGCATAACTTCACCAAAATTTTTTGTCACGCCCTGCTTCCCAAAATACCATGGAATCGGGACGCGAGTAAGCCCGTGACGTATTAAACTGAGAAGAGATAAGTGCTAGACCCCGTCTTCTCAATCTAATACGCTAAGCGTCAAGAAATACAAACGAAGGCACAGGTCCCCGATCACAATCAGCAAGAATATAATGAACAACACTGTAGGCTGTCTAAAAATCACAATAGATAGTTGATCCCCCATCAAACACCGATGATGGAAGTTACAATCTGACGACTTCCAGAAGGCTACAATTTGAGGACTTTCACGTAGAAGGCTACAATCTGACGACCTTTACAACAACTGATGAAAGCTCTAATTCAACAGCATTC